AGGGAGCTTCAATGAAAATTTCATTTTTTTATATAGTTATATTGCCAATTTTTTTGCTATTCTCCATGTTATTATGAAAACAAGTACTGCATACATGTGATGTAGTAGGCATTCAGTGAATGTTGATTACATTTAATAAAATAGTCTGGATAACAGTAAAGATAGCTTTTTTCTGGAATTTAAGTTTGAATTTCCTCACCTATTAAATTACTCTCCTTGCAGGGTGTTTTGAGACTTAAATGAGAGCGCAGGGTACATTTTAAATAATTATTAATATTTTTATTTTTAAAACTACCAACTAAATTTTTGGGAACTAAAACAATAAAAAATAGTGCACTAAAAATATACATTCTTAAAAGAAACCTCATTTAGGGGAGAACCAAGATGGTGGCGTGAGTAGAGCAGCAGAAGTCTCCTCCCAAAACCATACATATTTTTGAAAATATAACAAATACAACTATTCCTAAAGAGAGACCAGAAGACACAGGACAAAGCCAGAGCACATCCACACCTGTGAGAACCCAGTGCATTGCGAAAGGGGTAAGATACAAGCCCCGGCCCGGCGGGACCCAAGCGCCCCTCACCCCAGCTCCTGTGGGAGAAGAGGAGTCAGAGCGGTGAGGGAGAGGGAGCCCAGGACTGCTAAACACCCAGCCCCAGCCATCCGCACAGGAACGCAGACACAGTGTGTGCATGGGGTGCTGGATGGATACTAGAGGAACAGGACAGTAAGACCTGTGAACGGGTCCCCATAGCTGGCGCCCCTGGGACAAAGAAAAGCGAGTGCTCTTTGAAAGTCTTAAGGGGACAGGGACCCCACAGCTGGACGGAAGCGTCCTGGGACACTTAGTCCAGGCAGCTGGGAATCTCAGGGAACTCTGGGCGCCCTAACCCCCTGGGCAGCAGCACAGCTCAGAGGCCCCTCACGGGGATAAACAGCTTCCCACCCATATTGGAGAAGCAGCCTGAGGCTGGCCACCCCCACAGCAACTGCGGAGCTCCACAGCGGCCGGGCAAGAATCAGAGGCCCTGTCTGCGTGCAGCTGCCCAGCACAAGCTGCTAGAGGTCGCTGTTCTCCCAGAAGAGGAAGGCCAGCAAGAAGGGACTTTCTCTTACCCAACACACATGCCAGCTCCCCACAAATACCTCTATCGCTATGAAAAGGCAGAAGAATTTGATACAGACCAAGATCACAGAGACAAACCCTGAGAAGGAGATAGACCTAACCAATCTCCCTGAAAAAGAATTAAAAATAAAGCTCATAACCATGCTGATGGAGCTGCAGAGAAATATGCAAGAGCTAAGGGCTGATGTCCGGAAGGAGATTATAGCAATGAAACAATCTCAGGAAGGATTTATAAGCAGAATGGATAAGATGCAAGAGGCCATTGATGGAACAGAAACCAGAGAACAGGAATGCAGAGAAGCTAATGCAGAGAGAAATAAAAGGATCTCCAGGAATGAATCAATATTAAGAGAACCGTGTGACCAATCCAAAAGGAACAATATCTGCATTATAGGGGTACCAGAAGAAGAAGAGAGAGAAAAAGGGATAGAAAGTGTATTTGAAGAAATAATTGCTGAAAACTTCCCCAAACTGGGGAAGGAAATACTCGATCAGACCACAGAAGTGCACAGAACCCCCAGCAGAAGAGACCCAAGGAGGACAACACCAAGACACATAATAATTAAAATGACAAAGGTCAAGGACAAGGACAGAGTTTTAAAGGCGGCTAGAGAGAGGAAAAAGGTCACCTACAAAGGAAAACCCAGCAGGCTATCATCAGACTTCTCAACAGAAACATTACAGGCCAGAAGAGAATGGCATGATATATTTAATGCAATAAAAGAGAAGGGCCTTGAACCAAGAATACTGTATCCAGCACAATTATTATCATTTAAATATGAAGAAGAGATTAAACAATTCCCAGACAAGCAAAAGTTGAGGGAATTTGCCTCCACAAACCACCTCTACAGGGTATTTTAGAGGGACTGCTCTAGATGGGAGCACTCCTAAGGCTAAATAGATGTCACCAGAGAAAATAAAATCACAGCAAAGAAAGCAGACCAACCAAATACTGACTAAAGGCAAAAAATAAAATCAACTACCGACAAAAGCAGTTAAAGGAAACACAAAAGAGCACAGAATAATAAAACCAACATATAAATAATGGAGGAGGAGGAATAAGAAGGGAGAAAAATAAAGAATCACCAGACAGTGTTTAAAATAGCTCAATAAGCAAGTTAAGTTAGACAGAAAGATAGTAAAGAAGCTAACCTTGAACCTTTGGCAACCACGAATCTAAAGCCTGCAATGGCAATAAGTACATATCTTTCAATAATCACCTTAAATGTAAATAGAACGAATGCACCAATCAAAAGACACAGAGTAATAGAATGGATAAAAAAGCAAGATCCATCTCTATGTTGGTTACAAGAGACTCACCTCAAACCCAAAGACATGCACAGACTAAAAGCCAAGGGATGGAAAAAGGTATTTCATTCAAACAACAGGGAGAAAAAAGCAGGTGTTGCAGTACTAGTATCAGACAAAATAGACCTCAAAACAAAGAAAGCAATAAAAGATAAAGAAGGACATTACATAATGATAATTTTAGGAGACTTCAACATGCCACTCATTCCAAAGGAAAGATCCACTGGACAGAAAATAAGTAAGGACACAGAGGCACTGAACAACACACTAGAACAGATGGACCTAATGGACATCTATAGAACTCTACATCCAAAAGCCACTATTTACAATAGCCAAGAAATGGAAGCAACCTAAGTGTCCATCAGTAGATGAATGGATAAAGAAGATGTGGTACATATACACAATGGAATATTATTCAGCCATAAGAAGAAAACAAATCCTACCATTTGCAACAACGTGGATGGAGCTAGAGGGTATAAATAAGCCAGGCGGAGAAAGACAAACACTAAAAGATTTCACTCATATGTGGAGTGTAGGAACAAAGAAAGACTGGAGGAACAAAACAGCAGCAGAATCACAGAACCTAAGAATGGACTAACAGTTACCAAAGGGAAAGGGACTGGGGAGAATGGGAGGGAAAGGAGGGATAAGGGTGGGGAAAAAGAAAGGGGGTATTACGATTTGCATGTATAATGTTGGGGGGGGGCATGGGGAGGGCTGTGCAACACAGAGAAGAGAAGTAGTGATTCTGTAACATCTTACTATGCTGACAGTACTGTAATGGAGTTTGTGGGGGGGACTTGGTGAAGGGGGGACCCTAGTAAACATAATGTTCTTCATGTAATTGTAGATTAATGACAACAAAATAAAAAAAAAGAAACCTCATTTAATATGAATATAAAGTCTTCACATTCAATTCAGAATAAATCTTCATATAAAATTAATTAAAAAATCATTTTTGTTACATCATTAAATTGATTTACTTTATCACACTTTATGTTTTTAAATGCTTTTCTTTTGGAAAAAATTATTTTTTGGGGAAAACAAAGTATAGATGTGGGACTATGTCAGATTTTAAATGTACTTTATAAGCTTTCAATACAGAGTTAATAGTGTCTTTGCTAGATACATTAAGAACTTTAAATTTGACTTGATCTATAGTAAATGCAATCTTTATTTCATTTATTGTATCTCCACTTTTTTTAAAGATTAAAAAAGGAATTCATTCATTTGCCTCTTTCCCCCAATCTTGTTTCCCTGTTTTTATGGCATTGAGGGGACAGTTAACAGTCTTTTCTAAAGTACTTATTAGGATATGTGTGGAATGATCCACTTATGGTCAACTGGGAGGACTGTAAGAATTGATACTGATATTACAAAGCTCAGGAGTAATTTGGAAATACTTTCAGTTAAGTAACTCTAAGCGTGTTTAGTAGTGAAAGAAATTCTTTAGACTTCTATTTTTAACTATAAACTACTTTTCAAAACGAACAACACTCATTCTTATTTTTTACTTATATTCCCACTTCTTCAATTGTTCTCTTTTTACCATGGAAACTTAAAAGAAACAGAAAACCATTTGCCATTTGACAAATCTGATTAAACCAAAGGTGTTTACCATTGAAACTGACTACCCACCCACTCCATCTCAAGTTTACTTTCTGTTAGACAAAATATTACTATCTTTTCCCAGAAGGAACCCAAATCATTGTCCATTGGAACCAGTTATGTTTTAGGCTGTTAAACATTGCAGGGGGTTACTAAAATTCAAAAGTAAGTATTGGTCTTGGAATAGATTTCAAGAGTTTTTGGAATATGTATTCCAAAGACATCTTAGGGTTCTTGGCTAGATTAAAGAAAGATGTTGAAATAGGGGGAAAAAGGAACCGTTTTGTAACTTGTACTTACTGTACAAACCTAGCCACAATAAGCAGATTCATTTAAAATGATAATTTAATAAAATCATAAGGTTAGCAGACTGAACATAAAGTCTATTCTGAAGGTTAGTCATAGTTTATGGTTAAAGAATGCCTTTAGCGTGCCATCTTTCACATATCATGTATGCCACTTGGAGAGAGGACAGACTTTAGAGCTAGATAGACATAGATAAGGATTTAATACTATCTCTTACTGTAACAATGGGTAAGTTTATCTTTTCCATGTTCCATGCTCTCATCTGTACATGGGAGTAATAATATACATGACCTAAGGTCCATGTGATGAATAATATAATTTTGTTACAGAGCTAAATACACTAATAGGCATATGGTTGGTGCTCAATCAATGTTAACTATTACTATCATTACTCTTTATTCTGAGCAGCCAATTACATGAAAACAACTACTCTGCTTTAATTTACCTTTTTTTCTTTTGTGAATGCTCACATCATTATAAAGGGAATTTACTTGCAAATAACCCTTTCATTTTTTGAAAGTGGAGTACTGTATGTCACAGTAATTTATCAAGTACCTAGTATTCAGAATCTAACAGCAGGTACTAAGGAGGTAGAAAAGAAGAACACTTTTATTTCAAATAGCTTTTATTCACACTAGGACTAGAGGAAAATCTAATTCAGTAGAAAACAAGCCAAAAAGGGATTTTTAAATCCTCTTTGAAGGAGAATCATGACATTAACAACATAAACAATAATTGGAGCACACCGCTGGATTTTCCATTCAGTATTTTCAAGTACAAAAAGGAATCAGAAAGAAGGTAAACATTCCATGAGCATTTGTAAGAATGATATCGTTATTAGATATTAATCCTTTATTAGATAATTATTTTTCACATCTGGGAAAACATCACTGCAGCACAATTTTAAGAAAAGAAGTTTGGCCACATGTATTTTTCTCAGCAGCTCTGAGCGACAGTTTTTGGTGATTGCTAGCCAAAAAAATTAAGGGCAAAACCACTGGTGCACAGAGGACAACAAACTGATCTTATTACAGAAACAGATATCAGACCACAGTAGGAAAGACATTTTAATTTTATGCTAAGCCAGAATCTCCAGAGCACTGGCATACATATCAACAAGCCGGGTCTAGAGAGTTTAATCACAGAGGTAATAAATACCAGTTTTCCGCTTGCCCTGCCTTCCTTACTTAAAAATATCAGGATATTTGCTTTCAAGTGACACAAACTGCTGAGACAATGATCTACAAAATGGTCACTCATTTTTAACAGCCTCCTTGGTGTGCCCAGCAACCAGTGGAAGGGAGATTCCATGTACTCAGCTGTTGTGGAGATGGACACTGACATTGCTTATGCAACAAGAGTTTGAGGATATTACAATTTAGGAAGGGCATATGGAGCATATGGAGATTTTTACATAAAAACAATCTTTGCATGCCCAAGGAAGTGCCATGTCTCCTCATATTTTATAATTCCTGTTTTTCCGCTAATCCGTTTCTACTCAATTTTAAATAAAAGCAATAGTCAGAAACTGCTGCAAGATCTCTATCAATGGTCATAAAATGCCCACTACAAAAATGGGCACCACAATGAAGCCTGGAGGATATGACCACAACATGCCAGCAGAACACTTGTCCCTCCATAGTTTATTCGATGTTGCAACATTTGCCTCTAATGTGCCTAAGGCCCAAACAGAAAACAGAAAACTCCAATTTTCTTCAAATAGTCTGGAAATACCTTACTTCCAAATTATACTATTGTAAAATTTCTCTTTCGCCATATTTTCCTCATGCTAGAGTTTATGTTTGTGAGTTTGACTCATAGGGACATCATCCAAAGGGCAAGAAAAGGACATATACAATCTTCTCTATGTGGCAGTTGGCACAACACAATTAGGTAGTAGCAAGACTGGTGGAAAACTGCATATGAGAGAGAAAGAATCATTCTGTATTATTAAGACAAAGTGCCGAGTCCAAAGATTCAGACCAAAACACAATAACATAATCTATCTTTTAAGATTAGTAAAATGGCTAAGGTTTTTGAAAAGGAAGATGAAGAGTATCTACCAGTGTTGATATAAAACAGCATGAAAGAAAGTAGATCTAGTGATGTGTCATAAAATAAGCTGTTATGGTTATTTCTACTTAAGAAACATAAAGCAGAGATTGAAGAAATTATTCTGACAATTTAGATAGAGCAATTTGGTATTGGCAATTGGACAGGGGAAGAGTGGAAAGTAAATTTTTGGTTAGAAAGATTGACACTTTTCTGTGAACTATGTATTTGCTAAATGTTCCAGTTTGAGAAATCGTTACAACCCTATTATTCTGTCTTTAAGATCAAGTCCAAACAGCCCCAGATCTATAGTCTCAGGTTCAATTGCTCCACCCAGCTATATCTAACATGTTAATAACTGACTCGGCTGTTGCACAAACCATTATATAAAACCAGCTACATATATCATAGAAAAACTGGACTGCAGTTGATTAGGAGAAACCAAATTCTATAGTCCAACGAGAACGTGCCTTGTTCATGTAAAAAATTTACACTCGGGCCATATGACAATCATGTTGTGCTTCGTGAAGCATTTGATGTAGTAAAAGCAGGCTGTTAGGAGGCAAGAACTATGATTTTCAATGTAAATATGACCAGGAAAAGAAGGCACACAGTGGCACTTACATATGTTAGTGGTGGTGTTGATGATGGTGATGTACTATTCATAATACTTCATTCAAGAGGCAGTAAACAGTATAAAATTCTGCTAGAGACCAAATTATAATTGTGTCCTCAGGGAACACAAGAAATATTTGATGATGATCATTACTTTGTTGATGATTGGTTTTAAAGACAATAAAATGCCTTCATTTCTGAGCTTCGATCATCTGGTTTTCATTCTTTTTGGAGGTGAAATGCCCTATTTGTGCAATAGTTGAAAAGGTGTGTTGTTTCCTACTTCTCTTCTTTCTTATTTGCTCAGCAAGTTAAGTGATTTCATTCCTGATCAGGAAAGGAATGTTAGGATAGATAATGCTAGAAATGATGTCAAACTCTGACAGATTTTGAGTATTCCAAGCTCAGAATAAATTACTTTTAGGACAGAAACCTTTGGCTTTGTTTTGTGACTATTAGACATTTAATACTTTCATTGAGACAAATTGAGAGTAAACTTTCAAAAGATAAATAGTAAGAGTTGTTTAAACAAATTGACCTACACATAAATGCTGGAAAAAAAATAAGTATAAAAGTGATGACTGAGAAGAGGAATTTTCTCTCAGAATAGTTTCCACATCATCATTCTATTTTACTTCCATATGGAGTCTGTAAAGAAACCCAGTAAATCTGCAAAGCTTTGTGAATGACCTTCAGAAATAAGGAAGCACTGAATTGTTAGCAGAGGCCAGCCCTTAGTTTCTGAAAATGTGTGAGGAGATGTCCTCCTTTCAAATCTACCATGCTGCCAGTGAGAAAAGTATGGAAGTTTTGCAAAAGGTGACAGTCAAAAGTGAAGGCAAGATTTCAGTTCCTATGATTGGTAATGAAAATGCTACTTGTAGTCATTTTTCATATGTATCTGTTTTCTCCACAAGCTGACTTCTATCTCTATTATTGATGTAAATTTGTTAAAAGAGTTCATCTCAAAATGTTCTTCCCATTTAATGAGCTATGATTAAATAGCTTCTATTACCACTTGAGGTCCATTATACTTATTATCTAATAAGACTTTATGAATTTAATATACAACCCCAGTTTGTACTATATAATTGAGAAAATTAATTTTATTAAACTTTCTTTTTGTATCTATTACCAAATCTTATTAAACTCCTAGCATTGTTTATTAATAGATTTCTCAAAAATCATTACTTTTTCATCATGTATGAGTTATTATGAGATTGTGAGCAATCTATAATCTATGTGATTATCCTTCAAAGTATGGATCAGAAAGAGATATATTATTGATAATGCTTAGAGAGGAGTTCTAACAGCCCTTAACTAGGAACTTTTGTGACCAATAAAAATTCAATGTGTAAGAAAATAACTATATCAACTGAAGCTACCCTTTCAAAAAGTGCTGGTGTATTTCAAAAGAAGTGTTGATATTCTCCAAAAGCCTCCATTCTGTCCCTGAGGGCTATACTACATTTTGTAATGGTATAATCAAAAAGCACTGGCATTCTGTTCTTACAACTACACTCAGCTGTGATTAATCCTCTCCATGGTTTATCTGTTTATCTGCCTCTCCGTGTATCCTAGACTCTAACTGCAACCAATTGGGTACACTGTCATATGGGAGGATGTGTGATTAACTCAACAATGCCATGTTTTAAATCCAGATAACCATGGAGATGTCCTAGTGATCTGGATTTATCAAACTCATGGTTGTGCATATGTACGTGGCAAAACTATTATAGGAAACTTCAATAAATTAGTATGTTTGCACTATACTGTTTCATTTTCTTATTCAACATCAACAACATCTAAAAAATATCTGGAAGGATTGAGAGTAATAATAGAGATTTGTAATTATGAAGTTGATTTTTACAAGTCATAATTATGTTTCCAATTAAAATATGATATCACTTTCTTTTTAAAGGGGGAAGTCTGTTTTAAACTTTTGGCTCCATTATCTGGTTTTCTTAGAATCTCCTTAAGCAATTAAAGCAAAACAGCAAGAGCAAGCAAATATAATTGGCATGAATTTCTCTGAAAATGTGAATTTTTTTACAAAAAATTCATTACAATTGTGAATCTAGATTGACCTCACCCTTATGCAATAAAAGTGATGTTTACCTAATACTGAGTTACATTCCATTTCAGATTTCCTATTTTAAAAGTTATCTCAGATTTCTAAGATGTTAAAACAAGTATTGAGTCATTTTTGTACATGTAATAAAAGTCTTTAAAAAATTGTAATCCTAAAAAAACCAAATGCATGAAAAATATGGTCTGACTGTAAAACAAAAGGGAGTTACATAATTCTACTTGAGTGAAATCTTTCATCTTTGATTTACAGGTTAGAGTCCTCTTTAAGTAAAACCATATTGTTCCATATCTTTCATATCAAGGCCTTCCCTAAAACCTTGTTTTAATTAAGGTTTCTTTCAGATTTCTGAATAAAAGCATGACAGTCTTCACTTATGGCTTTAATATATTCTTTGAGTTAGTTAGGAAAATATATGTAAAGAAACATTAACACTCTAAAAAGCATTGTCAGATACTAAATACTGAAAGTATCCTACATCAATGTCTTCAGGTGTTTGAGTTATACACTGAAATAGAATTTTGGGAAGTAGGCAGATAACCTACTATATTCAGTAAATTGGTTATAATCTCAGAAATAAATGTCTCTTATTTTTGGCTTTTGACACTAAGGTTAAAGGTTAAGGTTTTTTTTTCCAGATGAAGGCACAACTTCAAGGTCAACTTATTTCAAGGTGACTTCAAATAGGCAATGCCTTCATTAACACATTTCAAAGATCTAGAAAATTCAGTAACATTGCTTAAGCCATATTCACTTTAATAGTTTCACAGCTAACCGAATATATCATATCACGCAACTGTGTTAACCTGAAAAGTAAAAAATAAATGTTCAGAGCTCCTGAGTAATTTGGGGAGATTATGGGTAATCTTTAGCTTTTTTATAGGAAGGAAGGATGAAAGGCAAGAAGACAGGAAATGGTGGAGGGTGGCAAAAGAAAAGTGAGAGAATAACTTCTTGATAGATTTGGAACGGATTAAGACCATCTTTGAAAAGCACTGAAAATCTTCCATGGAACATATGCTCAGAGCTACCGTCATCAGGGCAAGGGATGCCTGAGGGGGAAGGGAGACCTCATCCTCAAGTGCGACTGCAGATCTCCCACGTGTGGGACTCGGAGAGGGATGTCAGGGGAAGAGGGTAATTTTTCTCAAAAAATGTGGCATAAAATATTGCACCATTGCATACAGTTTGTAAGGTTCCTTTGGCATTTGTACTTGGAGATAGAGCATGGCTTATGCAATTGAAAAAAGCCTCATCCTAGTTCCTCCATGTTGAACTCTAACTAGCAAGAGTTGAACCATGTGTTAAAACAAAGGCCAAGAAACAAAACAAACAAACAAAAAAGACCCCTAGGATCTGTCAGGAACTGCTATCCACTCATAGCTGAAAGCAAATCCTGTAAACAATTGAAGACTGTCTGACAAAAAAATTACCCAGTAACAAACTGACCAGAACGTCGGAAATGAGTATTTCTCAGGTTTTGCCCCCAATTTTGCTGGCTGTCATAGCATCTGTAATTAACAATATCTAATGCTGTCTTGGATGTTTCTAGTTCATACTTTGGGCCTTTGAGTAGGTCACCCCAACATATTCAGAGCACACTGGAAGCAGTTTCTTCCAATCATGGTTTACTGTAACTTTAGAATCATAGCGGTTACGTTTAAGGAATCTTTAATGCCCTTTCAAGTCCATCCAAAGAACAAGTGAAGCCGCTGTTCAGAATTTTGTGCCCAGTGTTTATGTTCCATAGAATCTGTGCCACCCAGGTAGCAGACAAGACATGTCTGAGGGTGCTGGGTGGGGGGATACACAATGATGTCACATACAGGAAATATGGGGGGTGGGTAACTTGGCACTTCACAAGGCTGGCTCCTCTTCCATAGGCTCACCAGAAGTTCTGTAAAAATAAACAAGCAATCAGAATACAGCATAAGAGTACACAATGACATTGTAGATTTTCATGCATAATCAAAGCTGATTTTTCAGTTCTCTCTGATGTTTATTTGTGTTATTCAGTTATCCATAAATAGAGTTTCTTTCCTAGGAAGTATAAACAAATGTCAAGTGGAAAAACATTTTAGATCCAAGCAATCATTTGAAATGTTCCTGTTTATATTAAAACATGTCAAAATATTTTATAAGTCTAGATTCCAAAATGTACATGTTTTGTGTCTAGTACAATCCAATAATTTATTGAAAAAATTAGCTATGATATTTTATTTTAGGAGCAATGGCAGTGCTTTCCTATGGAACCAGTTAGCTAAGGAGAGCAAAGGACCCAGCTAGCTTCTCAGGGATACTCCCCGGGGCACTGGGTCTTGCTTCTGTTCTTTCATAACTGGATTGGCTGCCTGCCGGAGGCATTGCAAATCAAATTCTGAATTTGATTAGCAAATCGCTGCTACAGACCCAACGTTTTTATAAGAAATGCAAGATGGTAGTCTGTTAATAGTTTTTATTTGGCGTCACCTGTGGGGTGTTTTGCTTGGGCAAAACCAAAACTAATTGCTTGAAAATTTATACTTGAAATTTAACCTTAATTTAGCAACACTCTGAGGGTGTTTCAAGGCAAACTTTTAGAATGATTTTTAATTTTGTCAGAAGGACAGATTGTAGCAGGAATCCAAATATATGAAGGAAGAATACTGGGAGTTAAGATGCCTGGTGAACACAGTTTTCCGTCTGAGCTCTGTGATCTGCTAGTGCTGTAACTTCTAATGTTGCAACTACGCTTCTGTGAAGTTGTAGTTTCGGGTGGAAACATGAGAAAAAAAGATATTCATTACAGAATTAGTGAAAGCTAAAAAAAGAAATTGACTTGTAAGCAACAAACATTATGAGACACTAATACTTTGGGTTCATCCTTTCCTCATCTAACATACCCATAAAATTGTATGATTGACATACAGGCACAGACTTATACCTAGGCTCCCATAAGGAAACACGGTATTTGGATGATGGTTCTCTCTGGTTGGTGGAATAATAGGTAGCAATAGGTAAGTGGTTTCCATTTTTCTTCTCATATTGTTTATGTGCTTGCCAGTGTTCTATAATGAATTACTTTCATATTAGAAAAAAATGCTATGTTTAAAACACAGCTGTTGAGGAAGAGAAGTGAACTATTTAGCTATGCTATTTTACAGTTTATAAGGAAAAAAAGCCAAGATTTCTATGCATCTTTAAAGTAGCTGCCATTATAACTTAACATTTTAATAATAGATTTAATATTGAATGGAAGATTTTTATACCTAGAATGGTAATGAAAAGGATTTTAACATATTCTCTACAGAATGAAAAATATTATGCATTCGTTATTTAATGTTACCAAAAAAAGAGTTCCAAATAAGTCTATGTGGAACACTAAAAAAAAATCATTTCTTAGGAACTTATAGCTTGTCCCAGAATGTACTGGATAAGAAGGTTGTGAGAGAGTATTCAGAGTTGCTATATAGATAAAAGCTATTTAAATGAGTCATACTCTATAAAAGTCTTTTAAAGCTAAAATTATCAGCATTCTGAGAAGAAAAAATTTTAAATTACAGAAGACTAAGTAACCAAGCAAATTTATATGTAAACATGAAAATGTATGTACATCTGAGAATATGTGGATAATATAGGTACAGAATCCTTAAGCTATATACTCTCATGGAGACTGAATTTTCCTGTTTCTTCCCAATACCAAGCTTTATTGAGCTGTAAATGACATATCACATGAGTTTAAAGTGTACAGTGTGGTGATGTGATACAAGAATGTTTATCACAATAACATATCCTTCACCTCCTATGATTATAATTTTTTATTGTTGTCTTTATGGTAAGAACATTATGTCAAGAGGAGTATTCTCATAGCAATTTTCACATATATAATACAGTCCTGTAAATATAGTCACCTTGCTGTATGTTAGATCCCTGGAGCTCATTCATCATACTATTGGAAATTTGTACCCTTTGACCAACATCACCCCATTTCCCTAACCTCACAACCTCTGGTACTTACCAATTTACATTCTGTTTCTCTGAGTTCAATTATATTTTTGCAGTTTTATTGAGAAATAATTGACATACCTCATTATGTAAGATATACAGCATGATGGTTTAATTTACAAATATTGTGAAAAGGTTACTGCAATAATTGAGTAAACATCTATCATCTCAGATACATAATTCAACAGTTTTAGGTTCCACATGTGAGATCATACAGTGTTTGTTTACTTCAGTCTGCCTATATCATTTAGCATAATGTTCTCAAAGTTCATCTATGGTGAACCTTCTTTTTTATGGCTATATAATATTCCACTGTAATTATATACCCCTTAAAAAAAACACTGTCCATTCATCAATGGGGATGGATGTTTAGGTTGTTTCCTTGTCTTGGCTATTGTGAATTATGCTGCAATGAACATGAAAATGCAGATATCTCTTCAAGACAGAGATTTTGTTTCCTCTGGATATATAGCATGATGTGGATTACTGGATCATATTCTACTTTTAATTCCTTGAGAAACCTCCATACTGTTTTCCATAGTGGCTGCACCAATTTAGGCAACCCCTTTTCTCTACATCCTAATACTTGTTATCTCTCTCATTTTGATGCTAGGCATTTTAGCAGATGTAAAGCGATGTCTCAGTGTTGTTCTGATTTGCATTTCCCTTATGATTTTTCATGTACCTGCTTACCATCTGTATGCCTTCTTTAAAAAAATATCTATTCTGGTCCTTTGCCTGTTTTCTAATCAGATTATAATCATTATTATTGTTTTGCTATTGAATTGTACAGATTCCAAATATATGTTGGATATTAACCACTTATCGATATAGAGTTTGCAAATATTTTTTCCTATTTCATATGTTGCCTTTTAATTTTGTTGATTGTTTCTTGCTGTGCAGAAGTTTTTAGTTTGATATAGTTGCACATATTTATTTTTGCTTCTGTTGCATTTTTTTTGTTATATCAAAAAAAAATCATTCCAAAGACCAAATTCAAGAAGAGTTTTCCTGTTTTCTACTAGGCTTTATAGTTATTGTTTCTACTAGATTTTATAGTTTCTATAAGTCATATGTCTAAGACTTTAACCATTTCTAATTAACTTTTTGAATGGTGTAAAATAGAGGTCAAATTTCATTCTTTTGCATGTGAATATTCAATTTTGACAACACCATTTATTAAAGAGATTATTGTTTCCCCATGAGTATTCTTGGATCGCTTATCAAATATTACTTGACTGTATATGTGAGGGTTTATTTCTGGGTTCTCAACTCTATTCCACTGGTCCATGTGTCTGTTTTTATGCCAGTGCCATTTTTTAATTACTATAGCTCTGTAACATAGTTTTACTCTGCTTTGTTCTTTCTTAAGATTGCTAAAGCTACTTAGTGTCTTTTGTAGTTCCATATAAATTTTAGGAATTTTTTTCTATTTCTATGAAAAATGTCATTTGAATTTTGATAGAGATTGCACTGAATCTATAGATGACTTTGGGTAGTATCAGTATTTTAACAATATTAGCTCTTCTGATCCATGGACATGGAATAGCTTCTAATTATTTATTTCTTCTTCAATTTCTTTGATCAGAGTCAATGTTTTTGGTGCATAGATCTTATTTTGTATCCTGAAACTTTACTGAATGTGTTTATTGCTTTTAATAAATTTTTTGTGAAGTCTCTAGGACCTTTTTATGTATAAGATCAAGTCATCAGTAAACAGAGACAATTTTACTTCTTTCTTGATTTGGAATATATACTTTTATTTCTTTGTCTTGCCTAACTGCTCTGGCTAGGACTTCTAATACTATGTTGAACTGATGTGGTGAGAGTGGGCACCCTTGTCTTGTTTCTGATTTTAGAGGGAAAGTTTTCTACCTTTTACTCTTGAATATGTTATGTGTGGGTTTGTTGTATATGGCCTTTATTATGTTGGACTACATTTCTTCTATATCCAATTTGTTAAGAATTGTCATTATGAAAGGATTTGAATTATGTCAATTGTTTATTCTACATCTATTGAAAGGAATAGATGATTCTTATTTTTCATTCTATTTATGTGGGTAACACATTGACTCATCTGCATATGTTGAACCATCCTTGTATCCCAGGGGGTAAATCCCACTTGATCATGGTGTATAATCCTTTTAATGTGCTGTTGAAATTGCTAGTATTTTGCTGAGGATTTTTACATCTTGTTCATCAGGGATGTTGGCCTATAGTTTTCTTCTCTTGTAGCATCTAGTTTTATCCTGTGGTATCAGGATAATGTTGACTGCACAAAATGGGTTTGCAAGTGTTCCATTCTCTGATTTTTTGGATGAGTTTCAGAGGATTGGTATTAATTCTCTTTTAAGTGTTTGGAATAATCACTAGTGATCATTTGGGACTGGGATTTCTTCATCAGGAAGTCTGTGATTACTGGTTTGATTTCAGTTTATTCAGATTTTTCTGTTTCTTCATGATTCAGTCTTGGTAGGTTGTGTATTTCTAGGAATTTATCCATTTCTTGTGGGTTGTTCAATTTGTTGACATATAATTGTTCATAGTAGTCTCTTATGACACTTTGTATCAGCTGTAATGTTTCATCTTGCATTTATAATTTTATTTATGTCAGTCTTTTCTCTTTTTCTCTTGGTTAGTCTAGCCAAAGGTTTGTCAATTTTTGTATCTTTAAAAAAATGAGCTTTATCGATCTTTTCTATTTTTCTATTTCATTTATTTCTCTGATTTTTGCTATCTCTTTTCTTATGCTAACTTTGGGCTTGGTTTGTTCTCTGAGTTCCTTAAGGTGTAAAGTTAAGTTTTCTATTTGAGAACTTCCTTTTTTATGTAGGAATTTATTGTGTATATTTGCCTCATAGCACTGATTTTGCAGCATTCTGTAAGTTTTGTTACTTTTTATTTCCATTTTTG